CAAAGAGAGAAAATCGGTTAATCTTTATGAAATTTGATGCCTTTGTTTTGGAAATTTAGGAAAAGGAAGAGAATCCACTACACTGAAGATGAAACATATGGAAGTTTGCTCAGGAAAGACTATAGATTGGGGAAAGAAGCTGAGAAGAGCCTTAGTTCTTGATAACCTTCGAGTCCAATCACTTCAACTGAAAATCAAAGCCATGAGCTCAAGCACCGCAGAATCCATTTCGGAAACTCAAATTCCACTGACCTCAGGGGTAAAACTTCAGACTCTGAATTACATTGTGACAGTTGATTTAGGAGGGAAAAACATGACTTTGATCGTCGACACTGGAAGTGACTTGACTTGGGTCCAATGCCAGCCTTGCAAGTCATGTTACAATCAACAAGGTCCTTTGTATGATCCATCAGTCTCATCTTCATACAAGACAGTTTTCTGCAACTCATCCACTTGTCAGGATCTTGTAGCAGCTACGGGGAATTCGGGTCAATGTGGAGGCAACAACGGTGTCGAAAAGACAACTTGTGACTACGTTGTCAGCTATGGAGATGGATCATACACTCGAGGAGACTTAGGCAGTGAAAGTATCCAATTAGGCGATACGAAAGTCGAAAACTTGGTCTTTGGTTGTGGCCGAAACAACAAAGGTCTGTTTGGAGGAGCTTCTGGACTAATGGGTTTAGGAAGAAGCTCAGTTTCTTTAATCTACCAAACAATGAAAGATTTCGATGGAGTTTTCTCATACTGCTTACCTTCTCTTGAAGATGGAGCTTCTGGTTCATTGTCTTTCGGTAACGATTCATCTGCTTACAAGAATTCAACTTCATTTTCCTACACTCCGTTAGTACAAAACCCTCAGCTTCATTCTTTTTACATTCTGAATCTCACCGGTGCTAGCATTGGTGGCGTGGAGCTAGAAACTTCAAGCTTTGGTAGAGGGATTCTAATCGATTCAGGAACGGTTATCACAAGATTACCACCTTCCATTTACAAAGCTGTGAAGACAGAGTTTCTGAAACAGTTTTCCGGGTTTCCTTCAGCTCCTGGTTACTCAATCTTAGACACTTGTTTCAACCTCACAAGTTATGAAGACGTGAGCATTCCTACTATCAAAATGATCTTCGAGGGTAACGCTGAGCTTGAAGTGGATGTCACTGGTGTGTTCTACTTTGCGAAGCCCGACGCGTCACTAGTCTGCTTGGCCTTGGCAAGTCTGTCATATGAAAATGAAGTTGGTATCATCGGAAATTACCAACAGAAAAACCAGAGAGTAATATATGATACTAAAGAAGAGAAGATTGGAATTGCAGGAGAAAACTGCAGTATCTGATGACTATCCCATAGCTTATATAATATGCTTCGCGTATTCCCTTCATATATCATGAAAGCCAATCATCTCTTTTGGCAAAGCCAATTAGAATTCCCCAACTACTCTTATAAATATATGTGTTTATCGGTATAGCAGTAGCTTACGAGGAATTGCAAGAAAAAAATGTTTGATGATCTTCTAAACCAAACGAACAAACAATGAATGGAGAAAGAAACCTCGAGAAATTTCTGAAATTCAGCGCAATACTTCCGCTGGAATTTCAGTGAATTGATAAAAACTCAAGCTTCATTACTTATCAGAGCAGTCATCTCTATCTTCTTGGTTTCGATTACAGCTTCATTTCTTCGGTTCATTAACATTTCAGCCGGAAGAATGGTTGAGTTTGGATCAACATTTGGTATCAAAAAAACCAATCCAATAGGAATTACCCTCAATAAACTCCTGATCACAATAACCAACCAGAGATTATCAAACTGAGTACGCGTAACTTTCAGGGCATGGAGTAATACTCCTCCGCCCCATGAAGACACCAGGTGTCCTACATGTTCAATTGACATGAGCAAAGCAAAGAAAGTGCCTTCCATACCGGCAGGGCAGAGCTTTGAACTGAGAACAAGAAGCGGTAACCACTTTATTCTACTGATCATATGGGAAACAAACTCATCTACCACGATGAAGAAGTAATCAGGGACACCGAGCTTCAGATTTATCCGCAGTACCAGGATCAAATCCAGAAATCCTGACAGGACGGAGATAGAAAGTGCCCAGAAGACTACATTCCGGAAAGGGAAATTCTTCAGAAAGTTCTGATAAAGAAGTATGCCCACGAGAGAGCCGATTGCGCCAAAAGACATAATGGATCCAACAGCTTCCTAAGGAACAGAAAATGTTCACATTAGCCAAAAACATTACGAAAAGACGAGAGCTCCATATTACGCTACAATGTGAAAAGAGAGTCAAAGCACCTTTGAAAAATTTGGTCCATCCTTTGCACCTGTGTACCAATAGAACATGCCTTCATGAATATGCAAACTCACTGAAGCTGACAAGAGCATGAACAAGCATGGTCTCCACACCTCACCATATTGAAAGGTTTTCCATATTGCGCTTCCGGCATCTAGAAACTTCTCATTCACCTGAACACACAAGAGTTACTCGATTAGGTAATAGTACGAAGAATATTGTTGGTCCAAAGGGTAGCAAAAACGTACATGCTTGCGATCTAGACTACGGGAAGGAGATTCTTTCAGAAGCAACCCAACCACAACAATCAATCCTGAAGTCATACCGAGTAAACCATACACACCCTGCCAAAAAACACAGACAAAATGTGTGGAACACACTTAAAGCATTGCTCTGAAACCACAAGGCAACTTCAACATTTAGTCTCTCTAAATTGAGTGAGAGAAAGAGCCTACCTTGGCCCCAAACCAATGCACCAAAACACCGCTAAGTGAAAAACCAACCAAGGATCCAATCGACGAACTCATGCCACACAAACTTTGCATATCTGCAGCAAGCGAAGGATGACTTATGCTACACTGTGTTACACAAGCATCAATTGTAACATCAGCTATAGCAACTCCAGCACTTGCTGCCACAAGAGAAGACAAAGCCAGTGCAAGATGCAAATTCTTATGCAAAGATAACACCATCATAGCCACCATAGCAAGAACACCTACCAAACAGAACAAAAAAAAGATTACATTTTTCACTATCAAGAACCAAAAGAAACTACTTTCTGAGCTTGATCAATGAATTTACCGGCGAATATGAAATAGGGTCGTCTCCTGTAACCCAGAATCGGAACAACATCGGTCAATAAACCCCAAACAGGTTTGATAATCCAAGGAATCTGAATCAAACCAACATAAACCTGAGCTTGAGAAGGTTGTACCATCTGCTCGTCTTTCAAATAGTACTGAGTACTGACTTTGCTTAGACCTTTACCAAGCCCTTGACTAACACCATAGACGATAATCACACCAAAGAAGAAGCTCCAGTGAAGCTCTTCAATGAGCATTCTTAACCACCGTAAAGGCCGTTTCAACAACAGATCCAAAACTCCTTCCTTGTTCTTGTCTTGCTGGTTTCGCCGAGAATCGTTCTCGTACTCCATTGATCCGAACAAAGGGACCTGACTAGTGACTAGACAAAACTTAATAAATCGGAGAAATTTCTTGTGGTTTGATGACGTCACGGATCACAAACTTGGTCCGTCTCCGTTGACGGCGTTGTGTGTCCCTCTTTCCGTTAGTTGAAAATAAATATTTATTTTTGTCAAATACTTTTTGCCTTTTTAGTGTTAAGTACATCTTTATTGATTTATTATAGTTAAAACGTATTAAAATCTTATCTTATCTTAATAAACTTGACTATGACTCTCGCTTTGAAACAAATAATTTATACAGTAAAAAAAAAAACTTGAGATCATCACCTTTGAAGCACAAGCAGCTATGGAATCAAAGCTGGGAGTGAATATGGAGAGGCCATCGCCATCTGGTGAGGTAATATTTATGGGATCATCAACGCCAAATTTCTGTTACTTGGATTCGGTAACTGACTTGCGTGAAACACACCAAATTTCTCACACTTAGACACCATTTTGGTTATACGGATCGACCGGGCCTTACCTCATTTGTTAACATTTCCCCAAATTCCTTCTCCCATCCAAAGCCTTACGTCACTCGCACTAAGTTCATACATTCTGGAAAGCTCACATCCCTTCAGCAACTGCCCGAATCTCAGGACCCTCAAACTCTCATGTATCTTGGCCTCCGAGGTTGGAGTCTTTAACAGAGTACTCGCATCTTGCCCTTCTCTCCAAGTGCTTGTACTAGGCATCAGTTGCTTCCCTAAATGTGGGGATCCGTTGAAGATTGAGAACAAGAAATTAAAACTCTTGCAAGTGTCGTCTTGCAGAGACTTTAATGGCATTAGAGTGTGTCAGCAGCTAGTCTTGATATTCTCGTCGTCGACGATACCTATTTTAGGAGAGAGGACTTTGTCCTCACGTGCCCCCGACTCCAGTTTAATAGAAACTTTTGGCTTGCAATGACATGCTACCCTCACATCAGCTACAACATATCAAAGG